ATTCCTTAAACGACGGTCATAACCGCCATGTCTCGAGTTCGTCTAAGTTAACGCATTCTTCCCCAAATACAGTGATGAATACGTTTGCTGGATCAACGATCAGAACCGTTACATAAAGAAGCGAGAAGACTCACCGCCATTATGAAAGCGCACAACAACAGGCTGTTGTCCTTCGTGACATGGGCGGCGAAGTCGATCAAAGACGGACGGGTGATCGGATTGCCTGAGAGCAGCAAGATCTGAGGACGGTAGTTCTTGACGTGCTCAGCCGTACTGCTCAGCGCCAAAGTGGCGTCCAGCGCCGACTTGTAGCTATGCGCTTGTACGCTAGAGCCCCAGTTAACGGCTACATGAAAAATAATAGAAACCTAACACGCATACGTCACGATAAGTAACATGAATGAGTGATCTTTATAATTACCTGGTTGACGGTAGTAAAGATACATGTACAAGCAAGCGATGAAGACGAGGGTGATCAGCGATGTCCACCAGCTCATGATGAACATGACGGCAATGCACAGCATTGCTCCACCTAGAGACAACCACTTGTTGAAATATTTGAAGCCAGGTCTGAAACCGGGTGAGGCGGCGTACGACGCGTCGAAACATGCATAGTTCAAAAGGCCGTATGATGCAAGGAAAAAATTCGAAATAATTGGGGCAATGATGTTGATATCGCCTAAACAATTCTCATAGATAATTAAACAGAATAACGACATACAAAATATCTAAATGACACCATCAATTTACATATATACACAAAACACATAACCATAACCTCATCAATATTAATATACAAAACAAAAATATTAAATATAATCATCATATCACACAATATCCACAAATGGAAACTGAAGAGAGTCACTGTCATTGACAAAGATTCCTGGTTGTACTGCTAATGCAATCAAATGATAATGCAGCATTCAAATGACAACAATGGATAACTGGGATTCGATATTAAGTCCAGCTTGTAAACCTCATTTTTACTTAAGACTCATTAGTCTCATTAGACTCTTAAGTCGTATTAAGCTGACGGTGAGGCGGAAAAGAATTTCCCTTTTTATTATCAGTGGAAAATCATTAAATGACGCGTTCAAATTCAGACAAAGCATCAATTTCACAACAACATACTTAGAACAGAACAATGGTTCACCGATAACTCTCGACAGCCTTCTTCAACAACATGAAAGAACATTAAGCGTGTGACTGTATGCAATACTGCGAAATCCCTGGGCGCGAAAGAGTCACTTTCGAACGGCGCTCCGTTAAATAACATGAATATGACGTACCAGCTTGAACTTACGCAAATTATCGATTCGAACGTTGATTAAGTGTGGATTTTTCTACTTCCCCATTACCATTCAAAACTAGGGAGATACACAATCAAAATGTAATTTTTGCTCTATTTCAAGTCACTAATCATGACTGGGAATATAAGGTAAAGAAACAGTGTCTAACACAGCACAGCATGATCTGGCTGATTTAAAATTTGCGTACAATTGCAATTTTTTTCTAAACTTCACAAAATGAACCAGTTTTAACTTTCATCGAAAATACGTGTATAAATTCGAAAACTACCTTTAATTTTCAATTGGAAAGAAACTTATGCAAAGAGTGTCCGTAAAAATGCACGCATCAGTGTATCACCGATCATTTCCTCGACCAACCACAATTATCCGCGTAAGAAAATTAATTTTTGCAAGTGGAACCTCGAGGCCCTTCTCCTGATTTACACAGCGCCGTCACATCATCTTCGACTTCTAGTACCTTAAGTAGTACAACTAGTAACTTAAGCTACTGTTTAGGCGGCGACAATCACATAGTATTTCAACAATGGCATGCATGAGTGCAGAAATACATTTTATTCGATCGAAAAAAACTTGTTCGAACACCAACGAATATACCTCCGTCCGTGCGCATACATAATAAAAATTAATCCTGGTATTATGGATTAGCTAACCAACTTGTAGTTTGCGGTACAACTGGCAGGAATAACAACCTCTCGCCACTGCTCAAGTGTCGACGCAATATCGATGCATATTTGTTAGTGTTCGAACAGCCTTTTCTACGATCCAAAAAGCGATACCGGTTCACATCGATGTACAAGCGCTAAAGTACCAGGGATACGTGGTCTACTTCAAACGTTAAAGTAGGTTAACAGTAGCAAGGGAACAGTGAGATTACGCGATAAAAGATTTTTCATTCCTATTGCCTGTGTCCAATCGAATTTGTCAGCAAGTCCACTAAGTCGAAGTAATTTATATTATGCTGCTAAATTTTGCAGTAATAGATAACGCATCATTGTGAGGCAATGCTGACAGACTTCCATCGAGGTTAATGGAGGGTGACAAAGACTTCGTCTCAGTTGCATTTCCAACATATAGATTTTCCGCGTCTGCGAATGAGCAGTTAAAAATCTTTCTGACTCCTTAGTTGCTTAAATATAGATTCAACTTTGTTAGGCTAAATTTTCATAAATATTCTTATATTCGAATAAAATATTTTGTGTATTTATATAAAATGTCTGAATCCGAAGACGAAGGACAACTGGTCGCGCTGGAGAATGACCAAAAGTTGAAACAGAAAATTTACTGACTTGTAAACGTCATTTTTCTTATGTTGATCGATATCTGGTGATTTCAGTAACCATATCATATGGTAAACCATATCATAGATAACCTAAACGGTGTCAGCATTATTGTTTTTAATGTAACGTAAATAAAACTTTATGTTCACCTTTGACAATCATGACCGGACTGATCATTTAGTATGGCACAGCGGGGTGGGAGGGGCTGGTTGGGAGGTGATTCACTGAATGAGCAATTGATTTGCAAACCTTCAGAGGATCCGAATAAAAGCCACATAAGCCGCGCGAATTTTCTTCTATTAACTCAGCAAGAAACTTACTCCACTGTGCTTCAGTGCAGCTACAACATAAACAGGAAGCCAGTTAATGATCAACGAATAATACGGGCAGCATTGTGTACTGGTGTTTTCCTGTGAAACAGTGCAGAATACAAGGTCAGGATATGCCTAATCAGTGCGCCATACCTATGCAGTTCGAAATAACCGAACTAATCGCTGATCAATAATGAGCATGATGAATAAATTAAAAATAAATAACAAGTTCAATTTAACATGATACGAAATTCAATTTAAGTGCGATCCATATTCTTTTGTAAATTTCAATTACACAGGCTTCATGTAATTCAGAACTTTTTTCTTTTGAACATCTGACAAATAATTAATTACTCTATGGTAAAATCAAGAGGCGTTTAAAGCATACAATAGGATAAATCTGTTACAAGGCAAAAGAATACTATGGCATCACAAAATGTTTCATTTCAGAAGGACATTTATAAGTGCCAAGTGGCGAACTTATAAGTAGATTTCGCTACGGTCTCCAACCCACTTACTTCCTCACTGGACAGAGGACCGGCAACGGCGGAGTAGCCAGTGTCATTCTGCGTAAAATAATACGAATCACTGTGGCTAAAGCGAAAACCTCAGTCTGAAAACAAAGCTCTCGATGATCAAGTCGACCTTTATTCCCATGCTTACCTACGGTCA